AATTTGCGCGGACGATTCGACCATATTTGGGCTCATACAGTCGGACCATGACGAAATTTCGGAATTTCATACTAAACTTTTCTGAGTGGTGTGAAACTCATAAACTGCTTTTAAATGTGAAAAAAAAACAACCAAGAACTAATTGTTGACTTTAGGAGAAAAAAACAACAACCTTGTAGCCGCTCCAAATAAAAAATGAAAACGCACGCCGAGAAAGTTTCAGATTATAAGTTATAAGTATTTGGGTGTTCCATAGACGACAAACTCGACAGACATGTCCACGCTTATCTATCTCCTGCTTTAAAAAAAAAATTGTACAAAAGATTATTACATTTATCTTAGGAAGCTCACGCATTAATCAAAAACATGCACAATTCCATCTACATTCCCCTATAAACATGTACATCATTGAATTATACATAATGCTTACACAAAAATATAAATTTCAGCATTTTGGACAACCAGCATGCCTTCATCCATCAAATGAAAATATTAATCAAAAGTAAAACACTCAATAAATCGACATTTTCAGGCATGCGTTGTCCGCACTCTGTATAGGTTACGTAGGCCTACCAATATCGTCAACTTCGCCAGTAGATCAGCTGACATAGTCTAGCTTTCATTACATTCCCAAAGCGACACCACCCACCCAGTTCTTTCTAAAATTTCTTCTTCTTTTATTATTTTTCGTTCACAGTGAATGAAACATCACCCCTCGGGTGGCGGGCTAAGGCATAGAGTTACCTCCTTTTATTGAATGTTGTCCAAAAACCCAATTAGTAAAGGTTTTTTGTTTCAGTTATCACTACTCTGTGTAGAAAAACAATTGACCAGGCTACAAAACAATATTAAGTTCACTTTTTTATCTTTAGTAAGTCCAGAGTTGTCACTCTTGTGTTACGAATGTCTAAAATTAGACTTACTTAAAACAGCAATAGAATGAGCTTTAGTTTACGTGCTGTAAATCGTTTACTTTAGGTCTTAAAATGAATATAAACCAAAGTTTAATACATACAGAAGAAAGCACTATACTTATTTGGTATACTTTAAAAAAATAACTGAACGTAAGAATGAAAAATACAGTTTCCTGTTCAAATGTCACAAGGGAAAGTTTAACTCGATTTTTTAAATACTTGTAGATCTACATGCATTCATCATTTGTTTGGTTGAATTTGCTTTATGAAGAGGTTTTGCCTTCCTACACCTAATGGCAGAAAAAACTCTGGAATTTTTTTCTACGGCTCATCTTGATTTAATTTAAAGCCAAACTTGGGGGGGGGGGGGGGGGGGGTATTGCGATTCGGGAGGAGAGAGAGGGTGGGGTGATTGGGAGGTTCCCATGACACTCACATCTTTTCATACTTCTTTTTAAAAGTTCTATAGGCCCAAAGCGCTTTGATTCAGTCAATAAGAAATAAACCACTTCGTAGATAAAGTGCTGATGAAGAAATAAAGAGGGGGGGGGGGGGGTTGGTTCTTTTTTAAAGCCTCTTTCTCTATCTCTATCTATTTAATAATACATTTGTTTGTAGATCTAGTAGTAGAAAGAACGCTGTATTATTGCTATTTAGTAACCTAGATAGTACGCCACGGCGCCCATGTAAAAAAAAATAAAAATAACAAGGACCAAGCCTCGCCTATCGCGTGTGAGGGAGAGAGAAAACATGCCTAGCCCATTGCTTTAGCTTGAATTCCTTCACACAGTTCGCCCACTGAAACATGGCGGACGCCGCTGTCGAATGTGGCCATCGCGCAGCAAGGCGAGAGAGGGGCGTGCGGTATCTAGTGACTATAGTGTACATCTATGGGCTAAGCAGACAAAATCAATTCTCCATTGCGCCATGCATGGAGGGAGAAAGGACATGCTTCAAAAGTTGAACTGAATGCTCAGATGGGCAGATAACAGACAGGGATGGAAGGAGCATGTCGTCGAGAGTTTTTGTTGAGTGCGAGTGGTCGATTAATTAAAACGTTATTTTTACAATATTTTTCCTGTTGATCTGTGATGAGATCAAAGATCCCAGAGTAGTTCCATTCATGAGAGAAGGGACGAAACAAGGGAGAATTTTCACGTTGACTTATATCAACGGTAGTTTCCCGTGCTGCATCTTTCTGAGTTCTCTGGTGGGGGCGTGGGTCACACAAAATTATCTAATTATTGCACAACTTTTGAGAACTTCTGTTGCTCGGACACAAAAAACAACAACAAACAAAACACAACAAAAAGCAGAAAAAAGGGAACAAACAAAGAAGCAAAAAAAGGGAACAAACAAAGAAGCAAACAACACACACACAAAAACCTACAGTTGCTCACACACACACACAAAAAAGCAACAAAAAGCAGAAAAAAGGAGACAAACAAACAAGCAAACAAACAAAATAAATCTGCCCATGTCGTTTACTCTGGGCTTCAGTATTATTTCCTTTACCATATCGCGAAGAAGATCACTGTTGTTTTTTGTTTGTTTGTTTTTTTGGGTTGGGGGGGGGGGGGGGGGGGGTCACACAAAATTATCTAATTATTGTACAGCTTTTCAGAACTATTCTTGCTCAGAGGCAAAAAACAAAACACACAACAAAAAACAAACAACAACAACAACAAAAATCAAACCCACCAACAAACAAACACAAAAGTTAAATGTCCATGAAGGTAGCGTTTCGTCTGGGCTTCAGTATTATACTACTCAAAACAAGTTAGGGACTAATACAGTTTTCACTATAGTGTGTTTGAGACTGTGTGACAAACAAGTACTGAGAATTTAAGTGAGTGTGTTGATGCCATTGTAAGGAAGGGTCATCGATGTTTACAATGATGAACAGATTTGACACATGTCGTTTAATTTACGCTGCCTAGACAGGGTGAAAGGGGAGTAATTTTCTGTAAAATTGAACCTGTCTTTGATAGTTAATCACCTGATTTTCAGTCTGTGATATGGGTTAAAACCTAACTCAGTGGAATTCAAGCTTCCAACACTAATGCCTGAGGGAGTTTGACGGTGCTAGGGATATTTTTTGCGGGCACATTATGCGATTTTTTAACAATGCCTCCGAGAAGACGTCTAAGCAACATCGACAGGGGACGAGCCCTAGCCTGGCTACACGAAGGGATTGCTGTCCATGAAGTGGCAAGACGGCATACTGTGAGTCACTCAGTGATCATCAGACTGGGAGAACGTGTTTCTGCAACTGGAACTGCTGTTGAGCGAAGGCGTTCCGGAAGGTCACTTTGCACCACACGACGAGAGGACCGCGGGCGATCGCCAGAACAGCCCTGGCAACTTGAACCTGCACTACCCGTCAGATCAGACAGCAGATGGTGCCCCGAGTTAACGTTGGAATCAGCGACCAGACCATTAGAAACCGGCTGCATGAGATTGGTCTAAGGTCCAGACTACCAGCAGTCCGGGTTCCACCGACACAAGCCCACCGGATTGCCCGAAGAACCTGGTCCGCCCAGCACCTGATGTGGACACGCCCGCAGTGGTCTACTGTGTTATTTACGGATGAGTCCAGGTTCACATTGTCCTTCAACGATGGCAGGATCTGTGTTTGGAGGTGTCCTGGTGAGCGCTTCCACGACGACTATGTACAGGAGCATGACCGGTATGGAGGACGCTCCGTTATGGTGTGGGTGGGATTGGACTGAACCACCGGACCCCCCCCCCCCCTGCATCGCATTCAAGGCAATCAGACGGGTATCTGCTACAGGGACGAGATCCTCCGCCCCATTGAAGTTATAACTCTTCGGGCAATGGGCCAGGGCGCGATATCCCAGGACGACAACGCCAGACCTCACCGCGCTCGAGCGGTGGATGACTTCTTGCAGCAGCAGCACATGATCAGGCTTTACTGGCCATCCCGATCACCGGACCTTAATCTCACTGGACACTTGTGGGATGCTCTTGGGCGCCGAGTAAGAGACCATCAGCCACCCCCAAACAATGTGGATGAACTCTTTAACATGTTGGACCAAGAATGGCAAGCCATTCGACAACTGTCATTGCGAACACTTATTCAGTCCATGAGACAAAGATGCAATGACTGTTTTCTTTCAAATGGTGGCCACATGCGATTTTGAGCCCTAATAGTTTATGACGGCCGTGATGTGAATTTTAAAAACATGGGTTACCTCCTTCAACATCTGAAAATACCTATTTTCCATTAGAAAATTAGCAAAATGTCGTTTGTAAAAGGTAATATGATGAATAAAGACCCCTTTTAACCAATTTTGAACCCGGTCATGTTTTTCAGCTTTATGTACTGTGTGTGGCTTAAAGTGGTCCTTAACCTTTTTTTGAGTTGTATATTTTCTTTACCGTATCGCGAATGTGGGTTAATTTACTCATTTTTTTGTATAATGAGGATACGTTTCGTCACTCCCTGTCCTTATCTTTTCGGTTCCTGTAATTCGTCGCCTGAGTACAACAAATCAGTAATCTACATAATGTAAAAACAACAACAACAACAACAACAACTACAATACACTTTTTGTTGTGCTTTTTTATCTAAAAAAAATAAACAGCTAAAAGTAACTTTTAGGATTTTGAGTCAAACTTTTAGACATGTAGCTCAATAAACATCGCCAGTGCAACTTTTAGACTTTAATCTTTATCAAACATTGTTATTGATAAATTGACGAAGTTTTTTACCTTCTGTAAATTTTGTTTTTGTTGGATGCAGGCCGTGTTGTTGTAGGCCTACTCAAGGAGCTTGGAACTAATCCTACCTACTTTTAATCTCCTGGGCCTACGTCGGGCGACGATTTATGCTCCCCCCCCCCCTTTTTTTTTCTCGGGGCTTTTTTGTGTCTAGATCTATATATTTTTTTTACCACCCGCTTACATTAGCTTACTTGACCCTGGGTTCTATTGCTCACTCTTCTGCTTTTAGTAATTGTCATACAGTTTCAGTGTAGATTAATCTCTTTACAATGGTGAATGAGACATGTGACGAAGGGCCAACCAACACGAAAGCAAAGAGGAAGTAAAAAAAAATTCAAGAAACGTAAGGGAAAACTCAGTTAAACCCAGATTAGCATAATATAAGCCTTATAGTTCCTTGTAATACCGTCTTCCGTGCTCTTCCACCGATCATCAAATCAATATTCGAAGAGAGTTTTAAAATAGTGTATAGGGATCATTATGTTCTGCGAGTATTCTACTGAATGTAGCCTAAGTCTGTGAATCTAGTTGTTTTCTTGACAGCGAAGCTTGTGGCATCGCATCTTGATCTAGAAGTCAGATGAACATCTTTTAAACTGGTTGTTAAGAGTGTTGGTGAAGGAGACGATGTAAATACTAAAAGAAACCAATATGCTTATTAAACTGCCCCCACCCTCTCCCAAATTTCTTTTTGGTTGTTGTTGCACAGCGCATTAGGCCAGGCTAAGCAAAAGGCGAGCATAAGGTCTACATTATTTTGGCTGGACTTTACAGTTTTAGCGGTCTTTGTAGGACGAATGACAAAATCTGGAACTTCCCGATGGCGACGGGAGAAGCTAACAAGTCGAGGATTACTCTGCCTTGGTTACTCGTGATGCCAGACCTGTTGTTTTCTTGAGTAAATTTTAAAGAATTGAAGTCTTGTTTCTATTTGCAGTTGATTCTGGACGTCTAAGGTAGGCCTGTAGTCTTATTATCTACTGTTTCTTTGAATTGATTAAAAATTGCTTGAAGACTGAAGAGAGGCCTACTGTCTATCATTCTCATTGAACTCATTGTGATTGTACTTCACTGTTGAGGCAGGTGAAGTCACTTGCACACTACTGCTAGATCTAGCTGACTGGCACTGGCGTAGATTTTAGACTTCTAAATAATTGCCCGTAATTTCATTCATCACTAGGCCTATCAATAAAACCGATAAAAGTCGGGTTTTAGAGCTGTCTCGATTTGGATTTCTGTGTTGTGTTGTCGGTGTATTGATTAGATCTCTAGATCTATCTTGTTCAAACGAAGGCATCCACCACCGCAGATCGTTGGTGACAGTTCATTGGTGACAGTTCATTGTTTTTGTGTGATTGTATACTGATGGGAAGATTGAAGAATACCGGACCACTCGTACATTATTGCGCGAGAATGTGGGGTAGGTGGGGCGGGTGGTTAGGGGGGAGGGGGGGTTCTACCGGTCCGAGATTCTCAATTGAGAGATATTAAAAACGTGAAAATTATGAATTCCTAAGGTTGAGACAAAGGCAAAGTCAGTCCGCTGGTCCGGTATTCTTCAATCTTACCGCTAAATTATTTGTCTCCTCCTTAGGTTGCCTCTGCCTCTACTCTATAGTAAAGGAGTAAAGGCCTAGCGACTAGACCTAGATCTAGAGAGGTAGTGACTTTTAGTTTGCTCCCCAAAATGACCCAGTGAGTGTAAGAACACACTTAAATTAGTTAAAAGCTAGATTCTAGATCTAGAGAGATCTTCTAATCTGGTCCAGAGAGATATCTAAGAAAGTGTAACCATTGATTGATCAATGATTGCAAGTGCCGGAGCAGATGCTGTGGCTATAGTATAGATCTAATCTAGTGGGCATGGATGGGAGCACTGCAGTATGAGTGTTATGTTGTCTCTTAGAACTTTTTTTTCGGAAAGAACTTGTGGAGTGTTACATACAGACCCGGTTACCAACAAAGTCACGAAGTACAGACCCGGTAGACCTAGGAGGAATCTGCTTTTGTGATTTCGAAAAGTTTCAGCTCCCTCTTGGCTCGGGTAGACTTTCTTCTAGATCTAGACCTAGGAGACAGACAGACATAAATCATAGATTTAGATATCTAGTTTCCTCTGTTTTGGAGTTGGAGGAATCTAAAGACTAAGACAATTTGAAGAAAAGAACAATGTCATTTAATTTAAATAAGTTCAATTCAAGCAGTCACTCTGTCTATATTTCTCTGTCTCTCTCTCCCCTCTTTTTCTGCCTGCCCCCCTTCCCTCTCTCTCTCTCTCTCTCTCTCTCTCTCTCTCTCTCTCTCTCTCTCTCTCTCTCTCTCTCTCTCTCTCTCTCTCTCTCTCTCTCACTCTCTCTCTCTCTCTTTCTCTCTCTCACACACACCCACACACATACGCACACATACACACACACACACACACACTCTCTCTGTCTCCCTCCCTATCTCTCTCTGTATCGCTCGCCTTCTCTTTCTCTTTGTTTGTCTCTTGTCTTTCTTTCTCCCCCACCTACTTTCTCACTCTATCTTTCTCTCATTCCTTCCTGTCAACTGGGGCATGTGATAATTTGTTCACTTCCCCTTGTTCTCTATTCCGGACTCTCTCTCTTTCTCTCTCTCTCTCTCACACACACACACACACACCACACACACACACACACACACACACACACACACACACACACACACACACACACACACACACACACACACACACACACACACACACACAAACACACACTCTACCGGGTCTGGGTGCTGAAACTTTCCGAAATCACAAAAGATTTCCCCTAACGGGTCTGTGAATACCTCTTGACTTTGTTCCCGGTTACCGGGTCTGAATACACTTCGATAAAAGAAGCCCTAACCCTTTTAAAACTCCAAGCCATTTAACAAACCTAACCCTAACCCAAACCCCCTAACCCTAAACTTAACCCTAACCCTAAACCTAGCAATAACTATAAAGGCTCCCCTGGTTTGGGAAAGGGCATGATTTGAGGTTTTGTATAAAAGAGTAAGTTACTGGCTCTTAGGTTCTTCTGTAATTATTGTATAGTTGATCATGTCCGTCACCCACTGTCGAGGGGAAGAATTGTCATTTTTAGAAGAATGTTTCAAGTGGCCAGTGTGATTAAACAGGCAAAGGGTGAAGTGGGAAGTGGTGGTTTTTACGGGCGATTTTGTAGATCAGGTCGTGTCACGATATGGTGGTATGTTAGGGGGGGGGGGGGGGCTACACCCCCACTTGTCAATTTTTGGGCATTTGAAATTATTGGCATCATCTAAAAGCTTTCAATTTCTTTGCCTTTCTTTCAATGAAAAAAATACCCGTCTATTTTGAATAGAGGTCGAAATAATTGCGATTGAAAGAGGTGGGGTCGCCTACTTTCAGTGCTAAAATTAGCGAGAAAATAGGCGCCATGCAAAGTTCAGTTTAAACTTCAATTGAGAGTCATTGAAAACTGAAAAAAATACATAATATTTTGTGCCTTTAAAACATTTTTCAGTCAAATGTGTTTTTATATTGGGCATAAAAGGTCTTTCTTGAGGCAAAAAACAAAAATTCAATAAAAATGGCCAAACTTGCGGAAAAATGCATCTTTCATTTTATTTTTTGATTAGCGCCTGATTTCACTACTATGCCTCACATATTAATGTGCTTTGTAGACCATTTTAAGGGACTTTCATAACATTAGAAAGAGAGATATAGTCATACACCATACTTTTTAGACTAAGTTGCAATACGCTCTAAGGACTTTTGAAAAAAGTTCATGCCTGTCATTTGAAATGTATGCCAAGGATTGCATGTCTTTTACACTGGCTAACATGATCTTGGACAAGGGTCTAGGGTTCAATGGAGGTGTCTGTTGTGTTATTTCATTTGTTATTGATTAGATCGTGAGAGTTGCAGCTATTGGTGAGAACAGGGGACCTCTGTAGGCCTTTTTATTTGCCTTGCACACATATATAATGTGAAAAATATTTTATCCATCCAATATCTCCATCACCCTACATGGATGTTTGTTATATCATGCACAGTTCTGGTTGGCCCAGACCTGCAGGATCACAGTGGCCTGCCCCCTAAATAATCTCAACTTTGTCACTTGAGGCGCAAAACACTGTCCTTAGAGTGCAGATGAATCTGGCCCTTCGAATCAGGTGTTGTGCAAAAAAACTGAAACTTGAAACTGTCTGACATTATGTCTCTCAAAATCAAGACAAAATAATTAATTAACAGAATGAAGACAAAGCAGGTGAAGATATTTATAGAATCAATTACAGGTCTCAGAAGAAGACGGGCTTGTAGTAGGAGTTGACTTCTTCACATGCTGCTAAAATATTGTGGATGAGAAGTGTGGAAAACATCATACATACTGACATCCTGTGCAAATTGCTTTTAAAAACATTTGGACAGGGAGCTAAATTTGAAACAGAAACTAAAAAAATTGAATCTTCAAAGAGAGGTCATCAGGTGTGCCTTTTGCAGTGTTGTCATTACAATAACATGGTAAATTTGCCCTGAAACAGTCAAATTCGGTTCAGAAATCTGATTTGTTTCCAAAAAGCATTCTATGTTAACTTTTCATTTTATTGGTAAAAATCTTGTCCCACCCTGAGCATACAGAATACAGTATACAGGGTTGCCAAAGAAGCTTTGTGAATCTGAAATCCTTAGTAGTGTTGTTTCTCTCATGAAATGATCGTTTTATTCTTTACTCATCACCACTCAATAAATATTATATTATTCTTCAAAAGATTTATATTATCATTTCTTAAAACTGTGAGTAGTAGGTTTTTTTTAGGATGGTCTGCACACTGGTAGAGGTTCTTTCTACTCCTAATCCGTCTATAGTTCTGTCATATTGCTTTTTTACTGTACTAAATGACCTTCTGTCCGTACATCTGTTTGATGATATCTGGTCTATCTCTTGAAATAAAATTTTGTTATTTTATCTTTTGTGTCATTTACACTTGAATTTCTTATTAGATCATCAAGTTGACAATTGGTGATATTTCCTGTTTCTAATTTTTTTTCTATATCACAACCAAAAGTGTATGGAATGAAGACAATTTTGGAAGGTTAACCATAATTGATGAGTCATGAAAATTCTTCAGAAACGAGAGGAAATTTATACAGTTTTTATATAAAAATAATTTTTTTTTTTGTTAAACATTTTTTATATATTTTTTTTTTTACCTCAGATACAAACATAGTGAATGTGAATGGAGTTACTAGCAGCTCTGTATGAAATTCTGGATTCGTGAGTGGTAAGTTCACTTCTTTTTTATTTATCAACAGATTTGTTGCACGTTTAGTGCTGTTCTTGTCGAAAATGAATTTATCCTGATGTTGTGAGATAATGGAAAAGTGTCTAGTTTTTTTCCAATCCAGTGAGGCATATTTTATGTGCTGTCTGTCTTGCTCGTGTCAAAAGATCACGGTGACTTTGTTGAGTCTCTAATCAGAGGTCTTGCGTTTGTTTTCTCTCTCTACTTTGGTTATTGGCATTGGATACTTTTTGCATCAAGTTCAAGAGAGAAGGATGACGTCTACTACTGTTACAAAGGGAAAACACAAATCAACGGTTTGTGTTCAAGTTCCTTTTAATCATTGCTGTGTGTTTTAAAATTGATGAAACACAGTGTGCGTTTTTGTCTGCTCACTGCTACGTGAACAACTGAAGATGGGGAGTAGTGTAGTATTTGAACTTGAGGTAAATACGACTGTCATTTAAGTTTCATTAGGAAGAGATCTGTCTCACTTAATGCGCCCTTACTTGCATGCCATTAATTGTAACATAGCTTTAACACTCATAATGCATTTATGTCTCCACTATAGAATTGTCTTTGAGGACTTCTCCTTTGTTCTAAAAGTAGCATTGACGTAGTTAAGGCGAGGAATTCTCGACCTTTGAGATTTCAGGCTCACGGCCATACGTACACGTACATAATGTATACACCATTGTTCTGTGACTGGCGACCTATATAGTGCTGAACCCCATCTGGATGTCATTACTCCCGTACTCTTTGCTGTCGTGTTTTAAACGTACGATTCTCCCCGCCGCTCTCGTCCTCTTTTTGCTTCCTCCTCTACTCATGCTGGGCTTGTTGTTTGGGCGATCTGGTGTGGTGCATGCTCCTTCTCTGCATTACATTATTTTGGCTGGACTCAACTGGACTGTACAGGTTTAGCGGTCCTTGCAGGACGAAATAAATCAGTCGTAATTTATTCCTTGCGAAGTGTGGCCGTTGTCATGCTGGCTGTTTGTATTACTTAATCTCCATTCTTCCGCCTCCCCCTTCCCCCTCCTCCTCCTCCTCTTCCTCCTCCTTGTCGTCGTCGTCGTCGTCCTCCACCTCCTCCTCCTCTGTCCTTTATCTCCGTGTGCTAGCCACTACTATATTATTATATCAGATCACTACAACTGTCATGACGGACACACGTAGGAGCGCCGTACAACCGATATTATGATGTCTGTTATGTCGTAGCGCGCAGCTGGAGTAGCTGAAGAATGTATCCGGGTTATTGAGTCTTTTCTGGGAAGAGCAAGCCAGAAAAGTAAATGCTGTGTGTGATATTGTGTAGACAGACAATGGTCACGTGAAAATACACACACACACACACACACACACACACACACACACAC